TGCTGTCGCCTGACATCTTCCTTTGTGCAATTTCTTGGGATCGCTCTTAATAAATCCCGTTATTTCCCTTTCATAATTCAGTTAACAAAGGCATTAACTATTTGTGGCGGTTGTTCGTGGACAGTACCAGAACTTGGCTTGAGCGTTGGCCAGCGCTAAAGCAGTGATTATATTTTAACGTTCACTTATTGTTACAGTTTATTATCGATTTTAACCTTTTTTCTGTAACATATTGTTTTCATGCTATTTATTTATTAGTGTGTACGGATTCTAGCATACCAGTTGTAAGATTTTGTGAAGCAGTAATACTCAAGGTTTGTATTAGACAGTGGTTCAGCTAATTGTAAAATAATCGAGATTTGTCCCATATGATGACCAATGACCAATCTTCGGGTCTATAAATACTCTGCTGTGATTACATTCTCAACATAAGTGCTCAATGCCTTCACCTTAGGTCAATCAGGAACATAGATAATTGTTCTGAACAGTTGTTATTTAGTACATATAGAATAACAGGAAACTCAGTACCATTAAATTACAGTACATAATTTTAATACAATACTATGCTATTTCCTAAACCTACTGTAACTAGATAGGAAAAGGTCAGTCTGATGTAATTGCTTTTCTGATTATGTTTTTCACTTTTTGTAAAGTTCTGCAATTATAACTACCCAAATATATTTTGATAAGGGAGTTTTATATATGGGTTTTAGATTTGTATTATTATTACTTTTACCACAACAGCTTCACATTTCACAATCATGTATTAGGTTTTTGTGGCCTATACCTATGTTCCTAAGCTGAATGACTTGGATTATAAATGATTTTTAGTACAGCAAATATAAAATCAAGTTGAGACACTTTGTTATGCAAGAATGTGAACAAAGTTAAAGTTAGAACTTTTATTAAAATTGCTTACTAAGCTTGTCTTGTTTGTTATTATTAAGCTTGTCAAAAGCTCCTAGGAAATAAAAAAATATGAAAGGCAAATATAATATGATTTTTAAAACAATTATACTGAGATGACCCAGCAAGAAACTAGCTATGTTACAGTGCCATTAAGAACTTGTAATAAAATCAATATCAAATGTATACTAATATTTTTTGTTAAATGTGCATATATTGACCTATGTTAAAGTAGGCTTTTCTAACAAAATTTCCTTAAGATAATATCTGGGCTGTAATAAATGTGAGAAATAGGTATTAACAATTTTCTGCTGGTGTTGTGCTTGAACAAGCTAAACAAGCTAGCCAACCGAGAGAGAGACAACTCCAAAGTGATTTTAACTATGAAAAACTGATGAAATCATTAATCTGTATTATGTTTCCAGAAATAATTATTAATTAAGAATTTATCGTAAAATATTAAGATTTACTTTAAAAAAATCTAGTTTTAGCCAATATAAATTTAAGAACCTCTTGTTTATAACACTGTTCTACAAGAGGCAATCTGTTTTCTATTAAAGGAACTTGTGTTTTTTTGTATGAATTAAATATGGTAAGTAGAAACTGCATGTCCTCCCTTGTAATTTAGCAGGTTTTTCAAATTTTATCATATTACAGTGGAATCTCTATAACTCGAACCTCATTAAGTCGACATCCTCAGTAAGTCGAAAAAAAATTGCCATTCCCTTTCCGCTGAACCCCTAAATATGCGGTATCTCAAATTATTAATACTTTGTAACTCGAACAAAATGTTATTTCCCTATGAAGTATTGATAATACATATTTATACTCTATAATTCAAGTTTCAAAAAGGAGACTCTGTAAGTCATAGTTAGTAAAATATAATGAGGTCTTACCTGGAATTCCCAGAAATAATTGCAATAAAATCCAAAATGAATGTTTGGGTTCTGGGCTTCTAATCTATTGTTATAAATACATTCATAAAACTTTCTAAGTAATACAGCTGTGAACATTATGTTTGTTCCTTGTGGAGAACTTATCCATCAGTATTTATTTTGGCTTTGGCTGAACTTGAAAAAATAATTGATAAAAAACCTGCAAATAGTTTAAATCAAAATAAGATAATGGATTTTTTTTAGTTTACAGTTTACTTCATTAATATGTAATTTGTTTTAAAATTTTAATATGTACAAAATATATACTATAAAACTTAAGTTGAATTGTTATTCAAATTCAACTCAATGAATCGAAAAATATATTTAGAAATTGCACCTCTGAAAGTCAAAATTTTACCAGTTAAATCATATGTATCTCGAAGTTCTTGTTAAGTCTTAAACTCATAAACTCGAATTTTTGGCATTTCCCTTGACATTCGAGTTATAGAGATTCCACTGTAGATAAAATAAAATCATAATCAGCGTGCCCTTTCTATTGTGTTTTAATGGATTTTGGCATTGACTAAAATAATTTTACAGATTTCTTTACTTAAATTTGACTTATTATACTTTAAAAGTAGTGATGAAGTGATGCAACAGAACTTTTTCTGTTTCCGCAACTGATGAAGTTCTGCATGGTTTTTAACATCCGTTTTTGCTTCCATTTCCGCAAGTTTTATAACGGAAGTTAAAACAGAACTCTGCGATGTAGTGACATACATAGGTAGATGAGGGACAATTCAGCCAACCACAAGCGAGCTGGGCACATACTTTCGGTACTTGTCCCAACGGGTTTATTTACTAACTTTTTTTAATTTATTATACGGCGTGACATAAGTGTAAGTGCATAAAATTTTCTGTTATCCTATACCTTTAAACGAACAATTCTTGTATATATATATATATATATATATATATATATATATATATATATATATATATATATATAAATCGGAATCTCTGAAATGGCTGCAATGATTTTCATAAAATTTTGTGTCCAGGGGAGTTTCGGGGACAATAAATCGATCTAGCTAGGATTTATTTTTAGAAAATGTCCTTTTGTCCGTGTTTTCAGGGAATAAAAAAACTGCTACTATACAAGAAGGTAAATTTTGATACATCACTAATGATCGTAATAGCTCAGGTGGGATGTCGTTCGGGCGTGATATCGGAGTTCCGTGGTTCGCGTCGTCTCTGGTCCAGCTTTTTTCCTTTTTTTTCAAGTTCCCTTCTTTTTGAGAAAATCTATTATTTCAAGCCCTTTTTTTAGTATTTTTTAAAAATACGAAAATTTTAATAAAACTAATTGCACTCATGACTTTTTATTCAAATAACCAGTTCAGTTTTTTTTATTCTGTCAATAAGATCAAAAAATATTATTTATGTTTCATCGGTATAAATGTAATTTCAAAAAAAAAAACTGAGCAAAGCTCGGTCAACCGGGTACTTGCTTTTTAATTAATTAGTAATTTGATTCATGCAGCCAGATGTAAATTATATGACAAAATATACTCGTGAAAAGAACGCGCAACCACCGCTTTAAAGAAGCGATACACGCCGAAATGTCTGCAGTTTGACAAGAGTTGAAACTGTAAAACTTTCATCGGAAACTAAAAAACAAATGGTCAGTCAAGGAATTGCGTACCTATTTATTTATAAAATGTATTCCTACATTATAGTTAAAACCCAATTTTAGCAAAAACATGTTTTCTCCACTTGAAACTAATTTTACTAAATGCCCTTGTTACAACTTAGATTTGTAAAATTAATTAGGCAACAGTTATGTTTACGTGAAGTTTATATTATTAAAACTACTTTTACGGATTTTATCGCGTTTATTTTTTACTTTTTATTTTTAATTCCCGACGTTTCGGGCGCTTTCCAGCACCCATGGTCACGGGGGACTGAGATGACTGACGTCCCGATGTCATTGTTAAACCCGGAGTACCTTCAGCTTTTTTAATTATTGTTTATGGTCCGATCTATGCAAAATGAACTGACTATGTCCTGAGGTCTTGCAGTGGTATGCTTGGGTTTAGTTTTAATTTTATTGATTATAGGATCCCAAGCAGGTGGTAGTACCCAGCCTCCTTCTCTATTGAAATTAGGATGTTTTTTAATTTCAATAGCCTCACGTATCATCCTTGGTAGGAATCGGTGTTCTTTCGCGAGGATTTGTGGTCTATCAAATCTGATGTAATGGTTGGGGCCGTCTAGGATATGATCACAAACTAGGGAAGTCTGCAGTTGCGTCGGGAATTAAAAATAAAAAGTAAAAAAATAAACGCGATTTAATCCGTAAAAGTAGTTTTAATCATGTGCAATGTTCGCGTAAATATAAGAAATCATTAAGTTATATTAATTACGTTTTACATGAAGTTTATATTAATTATTTTTCACGTAAAGTTTATATTATTTATTTTTTACTTTTAGTTTATATTATTTTAGAAACAGTGAGTATTTTGGATTCAAAGTTCGTTTACGTCATACTTTCGTGCGAGGGTTGTACTAAATTACCTACTCGCTAAATTTAAACCTAAAACCTCTTTAAAGGGTCTAATCATACTTCAGTGCCAGTTTAGCCCTGGTGTATAAGCAGCATCGCCAGTGAGCAATTATTTAGCGGAGCTGGACTTATATATGAAGAACACTGGAACAGATTGTTAGGTTTAAAAGCGGCCGAACTACTTTTCATAAAATATAACTTACTGCTAATTAATTTTGAATGTTAATTAAAGGTTTTATTTGTAATTTTTTTAATAAGTAGTATTTCCGTTTCCGCATCCGTTTCTGTTTCTGTTTCTGCAAAAACTGTTTCCATTTCTGCTTCCGATATGACACTTCCGTTGCATCACTATAGTTCATAAAAGATAGCTTGATCTCTGCGACAGCTGTCAGTAAAATCACACCTATGAAGTCCTGAATTTCTTAGTAGTACAGACAGTACCTGTCAATGTCATACTTTATGGGCATGCCGACCTAATTAGTGCATGGCAGAGATTGCAGAGATCAAGCTATCTTTTACTTATCTTTTATGAACCATAGTTAAAAGTAGGACTCAGGTGTTTAACAGATCTACGCAAGCAAGCTTACGGTATCTTAAAGTCATGCAGTGGTATGCTTATGTTATGGATTGTGATGTACTTGGGTTATTGTGTTATGGTTAGGTTAGTTTAATTTTGTTTATTATATCCCAGGTAGATGGTAGCAAGCCATGTTCTCTATTGAATTTAGGATTTAAAATTTCAATTGCCCCACAAATCATCCTTAGTAGGAATCGTTGTACTTTTGTGAGGATTTGTGGTTTAGCATATTTGATGTGATCACATAGGGGGAGGGGGAAATCTTCAACAGGTGTATGGACTGCAGACTTCCCGCAGAATCGATTATTCAAGTTAAACATGATAATATCTTTTTTTGTTATTATTTATAAATAAATATATTTAAAAAATCATTATCATATTTTAAGCATTTTTACTATATTTGACAAGATAAAAGTGACATAAATCTACCAAAAATAGATTGTAGGTGCATGCAGTTTTTATTTAGGCAATCTCTAATAAAAAATCAACACAAAAATATCAGTTTTGAAAATAATATGAGTTTATTTGACATAGAGTGAGCCGTGTCTTGGGGTAAAAGCAACCCGGGCACTACGGTGGCCCCTGACACACCAGCGCCAGCGCCCCAGCCCCCGGGTAAGTTATTACAACATTTTTTTGCAACTTTATCTTGTTTAATTATGTTTATCATTATTTTAATATAATACTTCAAGTATATTATTTATAATTTTATTTAAGGAACAGTAACAATGTTAAGATGTGACTTAATCTTAGTGTCGACCTACGCCTAAGGCATGAGCATTTGCTGGTGCATGAGCGAAGTGTCGCTGTTGCGAGCATGCATGTGCACTGGCATAGCATATAGTGCACGGACCCTCGTTGAAGTGTTTGACATGCATGCTACACTCGAGAGTGTGGGCATGAATTGCATGATCTGACTCCTCCCTTTCCGTTCCATATTGAACCACCAGATGCTTGCTTGACTGGTTTTTACACCTTCGTTGTAGACATTCCACACGTTAGAAATATGTTTTGCTTTGTAAGTAATGCTTACAGCAAAGGAGTGAAATAACTGGCAGCATTTGTCTTTCCATGTGATTACAATGTGGGTGTCCTAAGGCAAGAGTGAATAGACCTTCCTTAAGTTGATTCAGTGCACTTTGCTATCTTCGGCTATATCACCACTTACTATCAAGTGGGATAGTAGTCAAGCACTTTACGATAATTAAAAAAATGTACTGCTCGTGCTCTAAGGTTTTAGTACACCGCGACGCGGTAGCGCGGGCTCTGTTGCCGGGTTAACACTATCACGCTAAATATGACGTCATTGTTTTTCACATTGCGGCCGTGATTTAATTAGGCAAACGTACTAGCTTAGTATAATTTTTTTTCTCTGCTACCTTAAATACTTTTCTGTTAACCCGCCTAACGTTGAATTATTCAACCGTTTATGTCGAAAGCTATACGAACACATTCTCTATAAAGATGGTTTGGGATGATAAGCTCCTCAAAGAAGCAGGGCCCGTTACGAAAAACTTCCAAGTACACTGTACTACTGAGCTTTAGCGTTTGACTGCCTCGTTGGTGTAGTGGTCGTACACGCGGTAGCTGATCGTGAAGTCCCGGGTTCGAATCCCGAGTTGGGCCAAAATTAGATATGGGGTTTTATGGTAAGAAATTCTTGCGCAAACTATTGCGACACTATAATGCTGCCCTGCGTAGATGGCTAGTCTCCGTTCACAATGCCAGCCGTGATTCAAAATCAGTTTGGCGCACATTACCACTGGGTCACGCGTTCCTCAAAAGTTTAGGTGTTTGTAAAATTATTCCGCGTAGTGACAATTTCAGGCTTCCGTAAATAATGCTTAAGTGTTTATTTTATAAGTTGAAAATGTCAAGTGCTAGCTGTTGATTCGCTGTCGCGGCTCCCGCAATATCAACCGGAGACAATTGCCGGCCGTCAAGGCTGGACTCCGTGACGCGCCGCTGATACTATCGTGTTACGTAATAAGTGAACCGCCTGTTACTCGTTGTAAATGCGGCAAGATTGTGATAGATATCTAGGTATCAAATGCTGTAATAGCGCTTTTCTTAATTCCCAAATGGAGTAATGTCTTTTATAAAACTGAAGTGCCAATCGAACTCCACCTGATGGTATGTGAGTACTGCAGGTCGTGGACACCTGTAACAACTTCGAACAAAAGAATGCCTCACAGCCTGTAATTATACTGGCACTGCTGTGCCGTGCCGTGTATCTAGACGGTCCCTTACCACATCTACTAATAAGTATAATAATAACTTAGCTCGCATTAAAATATTTAACAGGCATTAAAAGTTGTATTGCTCTTAACTGGTTGAACAATTGGCTTATTACGGGTGTCGTCACTGATATATGAAATCTAAATTTTATTATTCATTATCGATGTACAGCTGTGCTGATTGTGGTGCTAGTGTTACCTTATTACGTTAATAAGTTGAATAGAGGCTGCGGGCGCGAGCACATCTTAAAATTGATTTTTATTAGTCGCACTGACTGTGTAATTGTCGCAAAGCGATAACCGTTATTTTATTTTAAATATTCTAAGCATTCTAAGCGAATTCACCATTTATTCTATAAAATGGCAGTGGTTATCCATATGATTGTACCAAATCCGCACTGCCATCGTTGGTGTTAGTTTACATGCATCTTCACTTGCTGCTTTACGCTGGTATTCTGTGGTTCCCTGGTCGAGTCGACCCAGCTATAACACATCAGAAGTGTGTCAGTGGCACTACAACGTAAAGCAAGGCAGAAAAACAATTTTTTAAATAACTTAAATAATAGTTGTATGCAATTTCTCAAAGTCTTGGTATTTAATTACAGCATACAATTAAAGGTAAGATAAATCAATCAAAAGTACTGTTCGTGCGCCCACTACATTAGGCTTAAACACGCTAGTGAATAAGAGCGGACAGTTAAGTCCAAACTGTGTTCATATTCAAGTAAAATCGAAACAAGTTCCTTTTTGTGCATTGCCGTGCCGATCGTCGGCGTGTAAAAACAATAGCCCAAAGAGAAATTCTTATTGAGCGACTTCTGCTATGACACAGCGACACTTTCCATTGTTCGGTGTGGCATAGCACCTTGATAAAATTGCCGGTTAAAATATCATGGTGGATCTGATTATGGAATAAACGTGTGTTATGATTTCAAATATACTAAAATGTTGTTTGAAACCGTTTTATTGCTAGGCGAAGTTTTTGTTTTAACAGTTTTAGATGGAAAGATATAATAATTTCTTTTATTTACGCGAATACTACACATTAAAAAAAATTTTACGGATTCTATCGTGATTAATCTCCAGTCTGCAGTATGTTAACATGTTAAGGATCGTCCCAACTATTACATCAGATTTGATAGACTACAAATACTAGTCTTTGTTAACTATGACATCAGAACTTCTAACACCTTAGTCCTCTCCTTGACCATGGGTACTGTAATGCGCCCAAAAAGTCAGAAATAAAAAAAATATATTAATCGTGATAAAATCCATTAGTTTCATTTAATATATTATTTACAGATAATTTTTTGTTGTGATTATGAGAGGTATACTGCCATTGTGAAATGGTGGATCATAGCACAGTTACTTTTGCTAGGCCTTCGAGTATTAGCCAGCAGTAGTATATTCCTTATGCCGCATAGCGTTTTGAAGGTGCCCGATAAAAGTTATAAATTATGTATGTTTTTACAAGTATACTTGCTAGAGAACGCAGTTCTCCGATACTAGCGTGTACGTCTATTAATACGGCTATTGTGGTGTTGTAATTCGTGTTGATTTTAAAGTAGAGAGCATTAAACGTAAGCCGGGCATGGTGTTGCAGGGGTGCTGGAGATGACGGGCACGGACAACATCCGCTTTAGCGGCCACACACTCGACAAGGCCACTAAAGCTAAAGTAACATTAGAGAACTTCTACACGAATCTCATCACGCAGCATTATGAAAGGAAACAAAGGTAAGTTTCGTACAAAGGGCCTTCCATTTCTGAGGCACGCATGTAGTTCTTATTTTTCTTCCTTATACTTATTCTCGTTAGTAAAAAAAAAAACAGGTGTGAAGTTCACATCAGGTATGAATTATACCTTTAATGAAATTAAAATTATTTCACGCCAAATGAATTGTTCAATATGATAATTTTCAACTACAATTGCGGCATAAAATTTGTATAAAATAAATATGTGTAATGTAATGTAGAGTCTAAATGTTTGTGAATAAAGTAAAAAAATATTTTCGTGCAAAATTGGTATAATATAAGTTCATTCCATAGGTACAGTCATTTTATTGAACAAAAATTGATTGACCCTGAAGGTGGAACGTTTAGTGTCGCTTTTTCGATTCATCGACTTTCTAACCACAAGGATTTTAAAGAAGTTTTCAGTTCAAAAATTATTGTTTCTTTAATTCAGGCTGGAGAAACTAGAAGAGTCCTTAAAAGATGAAAGCCTTACAGAAAGTCAGAAACAGGAAAAGCGGCAGCAGCATGCTCAGAAAGAGACTGAGTTTCTCAGGCTAAAACGCTCCCGCCTTGGCGTTGAAGACTTCGAGCCGCTCAAGGTATGTGGGTTCTTGATCATTGAAAAATGTATTCGTCCACCAGCGTTGGACTCAGTGGAGAGACATGCTAGGTGGCTCATTGGTAATTTGATTTGGTTGAAACCAATTTTATCAGCCTCGAGCACAAGCGCAGAGTAGCCAGCCTGTCGGTATTCTGAGAGTCGGTATGTATTTCGGAGAGTGTGCGCAGAAAATATATGCTTTAATTTTTTGCTCTCTTTTCCACCATCGGACAACCAGGTGGACGGCGGCTCTTCACCCTTTTGATGTCCATGTTCCACGGATTAGAACCAAACGATTCGCTTCGTCTTTTGTAATTCGTTAAGTAAAGGATTGGAATAATGTGCTTGCGTCTGTAATTCCGTCAGAATACAACCTGGGTGTTTTAAAGGCAACGGTGAATAGGATTTTGTTACGCTAAGATAGTGCAGTTTACCATCTGGAGCTTCAACACCACTTACCATCAGGTAGAATTGCACTCAAGCATTGGCTATAAGTAAAAAAAAATTGCTTTGACTTTTGGTGCCGTACGCTTTCTGTATATTTTAAATTTATGTATCTGAGTACCTATTTGAAAAAAATCGAGGAACATTGTCAGACACAGGAGATGAGTTGACAGTGGAGCCCAGTGCATTTGTTTCAATTGCTTTTTTAATTTGGAGTTTTATATTAATTAGAAAAATATTTTCCGTAGGTGATAGGTCGAGGGGCGTTCGGAGAGGTGCGCCTCGTACAAAAGAAAGACACAGGACACGTTTATGCAATGAAAATACTCAGAAAAGCAGATATGTTGGAAAAGGAACAGGTAAGTCGCTTAAATATAACCTGTTTATTACTTATATATTAAAATTTGTTGGTCGCGTTCTATTTTTTAGCAAATTTTTATCGAATTTCGAACACTCAATAGGTACCTACACGAATAATTATTATCTTAAAAAATAAGACAAGTGTTGTAGAAAGTAATGGCAGCTGTCAACTTATGTTAACGTTGGGATCTCTTGACCAACGCTGTATCGCATAGCTGTCTAGGTAGCGTAGTGGAATAACTCAGTTGGGCTGAGCAGCATTAAGAAATCTTGTCCGTTTCCTTGGAACATTTCAATCTATCTCATCTTGTGATGTGACCAAGCTGTCAAACGATCTGTCATTCCTGTTCGGCCGTAGTTACGTAACTGATGATGATGAGAAACGGCAAGTAATGTGGCCTGTCTAAGAGATGTCGCAGGCAATTGTCAGGCTAAATATCTAAACTTTAAGTTCAACAGAAATCAGTTATTAGGTTTTTTTTTTGGAAAGAAATTCTCAATAGTAGCCGGAGTCAAGAAGATGGCTGTGTTTTACCCCCGTGCCTCGAAAAGTATCTAAAACAGTTGCTCCTGCGCCTGATCTCTCTGCGGTCGTGCCGGATTACCGTCTCGTCGGACTATATGAGTGAGAGAATAAGTGTGCATCTGTGCTTGCGCATACACTCGGGCACTATAATCGTGTCCTGCGTAGATAGTTATTCTCCGTTGAGACCGGCCGTTGTGACCAAAATTCGATCTGGAGTATATTATTGTTAATATCAGCCAAAGGTTTTCTACTATTGCTATCGGTAGTGAGAGTCGCACGTGGCGAGCAATGGTATATGTATCGGCTCTGCCCATACATACAAATGCGCACATGGTCTACCTGACAGTAAGTGGATGCCACCATCACCATTGAGGATTAAGTATCAAAATGCAGATGCGTTGTCACCCCCGAGGACTAAGATGGAATGTCTCATTTCCAGTAAAAGGGATCTCCAGTTCTCTACACTCACCATACAAAACACAGCAGCATTAAGTGGTATTCTGTGAGAGCTTCCTCCTTCTCTGATCAAGTCGACCCATTCATGCTACAACTATAACATACCTGCAGCATATTCTGCCATGTAAGTCATGTATCATGCGTTTTGTTACTTATTGGAGTTATAGTGCCTTTGTATGTATTACGTTATATTACATTTGAGTGTATTTGTATGTATATGTTTGTGACTGTGTGCTGCCACCAAACTACCAAGGTTACCTGATAGAGCGGATTTAAGTTTGCCTTTGTACCAATTACTTTGAGTGCAATATTCTTTATTAAAGAATAAGAATGGCCTATAATAATGATAGTATTGATTCCAGGCAGCGTTAGTAGGAACTTATAAAGCAATGTTTCCATTGAATAAAACTATTATTTACGGATTTTATCGCGTTTATTTACTTTAATTTATTTTTATGATTATCCCGACGTTTCGGGTGCTTTACAGCACCCATGGTCACGGGGGGGACTGAGATGTTTGACGTCCCAATGTCATAGTTAATCTGGCTACCTTCAGTTTTTTTTTAATATTAATTTTTGGTCCGATTTACGCAAAACGAGCTTATAGTATCATGAAGTCTTGCAGTGGTATGCTTGGGTTTGGGTTTAATTTTGTTAATTATAGGATCCCAAGCAGATGGTAGCACCCAACCATCTTCTCTATTGAAATTTGGATGTTTTTTTTAATTTCAATAGCCTCGCGAATCATCCTTGGTAGGAATCGGTGTTCTTTTGCGAGAATTTGTGGTTTATCAAATCTAATGTAATGGTAGGAACGATCTTGAACATGTTCGCAGACTGCACACTTCCCGGAGCGTCGGTGCTTCACATCAGCTATATGTTCCTTCACGCGGGTTTTTATAGATCTCTTTGTTTGACCTATGTAAGAGAGACCACATTCACAATCTAGCTTGTACACACCTGCATCTTGTAGAGGAATATTATAATTGATGGATGGTAAAAATTTACTAATCTTCTTCAGCGGCTTGTAGTATGTCTTAATGGACGCTCGCTTCAAGATGTAGCCAATCTTGTCCGTGATTCCTCTGACATATGGTAGTAGAGCAGGCGCGCGCTCGACTGTGGCAGGCTTCACTCGTTCACTGTGACGTAGGCGCGGGACCCGAAGCTTGTTGTCTAGCAATACTTGCTTGACGTGCTGAAGCTCCGCGGCCAGATGTTTTTTGTCATAGATCCCTCGTGCTCTCTGAAACAAAGATTTACCCACGGTAGCTAACTGTGAAGGATGATGGTGAGATTCACCGTTTAGATATCGGTTGGTATGGGTCTTTTTCCTATACACAGTGTGACCAATAGTGTTATCAGGATTTCGGATGACTAAAACATCTAGGAAGGCTAAAGAATTATTTGTCTCTAACTCCATTGTGAATTGTATTTTAGAGTTTATGGAGTTAAGGTGGTCTAAAAATGCAGTTACTTTGTCAGATGGTAAAATTGTGAAAGTGTCGTCTACGTACCGCTTGTAGATGTACCTTGGATTTACCGGAGCAGCAAGCTGGGCTTTCTCCTCAAAGTCCTCCATGAATATGTCGGCGACTATGGGAGACACAGGTGAGCCCATCGCCACACCATCTACTTGCTTGTAGAACTCCTCCTTCCACAATAGATAGCCAGATGTGAGGCAATGTTCAAGTAGTATTGCATATTCTTGAGGCATGTTATTTTCTTTTAGCTTCCTAGTTACAATTGAGATGCAGTCCACAATAGGTAGGCATGTAAATAGTGACTGAACATCAAAACTGACCATAGTTTCATTGTCAGCGAGATGTAGGTCTTTTATCTCACTCACAAAATGGTACGAATCCTTTGTGTGTGCTCTGGTATGTCCTCTCAGTGGTGTTAGTATTTTTGCTAAGTATTGTGCCAGCTTATAAGTTGGTGAATCGATCTGGCTCACTATGGGACGTAGTGGAGCGTTTGGTTTGTGTATCTTCGGTAACCCATACAACCTCGGTAGTTTGGTACATGATGGTATTAGCGAATTCACGTCGAGATTTAATTTTTCGGAGTATTTCTTTATTAAATCGCTAGTTGTTTTAAGCGTGTTAGTTGTAGGGTCTGTTTTGTACTTTCGTCCTATAATTATATTTAGGTGAGTATTTTTATATATATATATATGTACTATAATTAACAAAATTAAAACCCAAACCCAAGCATACCACTGCAAGACTTCATGATACTATAAGCTCGTTTTGCGTAAATCGGACCAAAAATTAATATTAAAAAAAAACTGAAGGTAGCCGGACTAACTATGACATTGGGACGTCAAACATCTCAGTCCCCCTCGTGACCATGGGTGCTGTAAAGCACCCGAAACGTCGGGATAATAATAAAAATAAATTAAAGTAATTAAGCGCGATAAAATCCGTAAATAATAGTTTTATTCAATGTGTAGCGTTCGCGTAAATTTAAGAAATCATAATGTTTCCATTATAATATACCTTAAAGGTATACTGTAAAACTAAATTAAGCAAAACCTATTATTGAAAGTGAACAGCCCGCCTGATGGTCAATGATGCTGTGGCCAATAGACATCTTCGTTAACCCTCGATTAGTGCGACACCGTAAACAATGCACCTCCATTCATTGAATAGTATAATAGTATTGGACTATGAAACCGCTAACGAAAGTGGAACTTTGATATAGGTAAATTCATGTCTTTATCTTGAATTTGCTTGTTCAAAAACACGATTGCATAATTTTAACTCGATCATAATTATTTGCGAAAACACCTCTAAAAATCACTGTAGTTGAAATTACAACGAAATTACTTAATCTGAATGATGGGAATCACTCAGATATATTCATAACATCAATATTCATAATTTACTTGCTCATTATTTTGGTTACTTAAATAAAAAAAATTAAAAATGTTTTAAGATTCCGACAATTTCTAAGCGGTCATAATAGTCGCGGGCGCTATGCAATTTTAGACCTCATGACGGCGTTTATTGTTTTTATAAAAATTATGTATTCACTCGCATCAGTGCGGCGATAGTCCGGGGCCACTTTTTCGATGTGTCGTCTTAACAATAAAAATGCAGATGCGCTCTCACTCCTGACTCCTGAGCACTAACATGGAATACCTCATTTCCAGTAAAAAGGGTCTTAGGTTCTCTTCACTTACCATAGCGAAACACAGCAGCATAGAGCTGCTATTTCACCTGGTCGAGCCAACCCATACGTGCTGCACATATATAGCTGCAGCATGGCTCTACGTAATAAAATAATACTTCTTGACGATGAACTAAGAGTATTTTCTGTGTTCGCACACAGGTAGCTCACGTGCGAGCCGAGCGGGACGTATTAGTGGAGGCGGACCATCAGTGGGTGGTCAAAATGTACTACAGCTTTCAAGATCCCATGAACCTGTATCTCATTATGGAGTTCTTGCCCGGTGGAGACATGATGACGTTGCTCATGAAGAAAGACACGCTCAGCGAGGACTGCGCGCAGTTCTATGTGGCGGAGACCGCGCTGGCAATCGACAGCATACACAAGCTCGGCTTTATTCACAGGTTCGTACTCTGTGTATACTGGGTGCAGTTCACTCTGCCTACCGATCCGTATGCTATAACAGTGCCAGCATCTGTGTTTATTTATTTATTTATATATTTAACAGTTTATGTACACCCATACTTTGACAGGGTGTCAATGACAAAAGAATAAAAACTTGATGTTTCTTAGCAACATGATGTTCTATTTTTTCGCTCTTTCATTTTTGTACTTAACGTAAAAAGACGTGCTATCCATTAACTAATACAATATTTATCCAGTTTGTATTATTTGAATCTCTAAACAAATGTAAACAACATTGTTGACAAAATTAGTGATCAGTAATAATATAGAGCTATTTTGTGAAATTTGTAATCAGTTATAGTTTATTGTTTCGGTGAAAATTTACGTCATTTTACATAACAGTTATAACACCAGAAAAAATATAAAAATATATAGAGATTGCTTGACTTTAATTTGACAATTCACGAAAAAGTGGTTTTATTTTACAATGTCGAAAAATGAACGCAAGCAGCTATTGGCTGCTCGAGGTCAGTGTAAAGCCAGCTTTTGAAAAGTATAAATCGGCTACTGACGCTGTGTTAACTAATGAGGACCTGGAGGTGAGGAAACACAATTTAATGGAGACATATGCAAGTTATCAATAATCGTCGTTACAATTACAAATAATGGGTGAAACGGGTTATGCCGTTTAAGAAATCCGCCCTAGTAAGTTTGTCGTTATTAAAAATTAATCAATTATATTTTAAAGTATGAATACATTTTCTTTTGAACTCTGATTGAGGTGTAAAGGCGATACAACAATGATAAAGTGAATTCCGAATATTTCCGATAAAACGAACACGAGTTTCCGAGTAATGCACCCTGGGGTGGATTTCTTTGGGTGGATAAACAGTATAACCCGGTGAAACAGCCGAAGGTGAGGATGAAGTTGACGAAAATATCTTGAACTATTGGCAATTGTAGAGCGCTTTACAAGAGCCAAAGCTTCCAGAGGAGATACCCAAGAGATGGATCGAGCATTGGAACAAAATTACCGTCGTTAGATAAACCTGAACTTTGATGCCACTGCAACTATGATGCCGAGCACATTTCTGTCATTTTGTGTTTTTTATAGAAATGATCCATGCCTTACTTCAATCAGACACAAGAATAACTAAAATACACAATGATTTCTTATATTTACGCGAACACTATACATTGATTAAAACTACTTTTACGGAATTTATCGCGTTTTATTTATTTTATTTTTAATACCCGACGTATCGTGTACTTTCCAGCACCCATGGTCACGGGGGACTGAGGTGACTGACGTCCCGATGTCAAAGTTAACCCGGAGTACCTTCAGCTTTTTAATTATTGTCTTTGGTCCGATCGACGCAGAATGAATACATTCATACGTAGTTCATTCTGCGTAGATCGGACCAAAGACAATAATTAAAAAGCTGAAGGTACTCCGCGTTAACTTTGACATCGGGACGTCAGTCACCTCAGTCTCCCGTGACCATTTCCCTGTGTTTATCTCGCATTTATTTAGAGATTCGAATAATACAATCTGGAGAAATATATTATTTAATGAATAGCAATTTTGGCATTGTCAATTCTGAACTTAAACCAGTCAGCCTGGACCTCAAGCAGAGAAGGTAAACGTGATTAATTTTATCATTTTTTTATTTTACCTATACGCCACACCCGTGAGCGCCTGCTGAGGCATCACACTAACCCATAAGTTCAACTTCATCACTGTTAATTATTTGTATGTTACATGTTATATTTATTTTAAGCATATTTATTGGAATAACATACAAATCTTCCCAGATTTAAATTAATTCTGCTGGCAAACGAGTATCCCAATCGAAATTGTAGCTTCGACCTTGACAGTGATAGGCTCAGCTATTTTTCGTGAAGTGGGGTGAGGTGGTGTTGACGACTCGACCACTCAACTTAACGACATCATTAACCAGTTCCATTTTATGCTGAAAAGAGAGAGAGAGAGAGAGAGATCTAGCAGGCTGGTAGTATGACTATTTATAAGCAATGCTGGATTGTGATTTTTTTTTTCAGAAGGTCCAATAAAGATTGATATGACTCACCGACAATAGTCTATCTATTATTTGTAATGATTCGCCTTTAATGTCCTTCTTAAAGAAACAAAGCTTCTGTATTTTATTGATTAAAAACTACTTTTACGGATTTTATCGCGTTAAAACATATGTACAGTGGCATCGCCAATTCCAAGTCGAAAATTCTTATAGCAGACCTATTGAATGATAAATTAAAGACATAGAGGCAGACTAGGTGTGCACTTATATACAATATGTTGTATTTGTATAGTATCTTTATTATATTGGAGTTAATAGAAATTCTTACAACGATTTGGATTTTCTTCAACACATTTATTAGATTTTTTTGCTTACACTTTATTATCGAACAATCCAACAATACAATTATCAATCCATTTCGGTGTAACATTCTACTTAGGCGTCCTCTGTATCATGCCATTCAATAAGTAGCGAAATTGCGTTATGTAGCAAGCTTTATAAATTTTATTCGTGTTTTTGAAAATTGTGTCGGTTATATGAAGTTGTTCTAAATATTATTTTCAAAAATATGTTTGTTTTAAAAGAAATCAATAGTAAGCAGCTTCCGCTGGTTATATTTCATTTCCCTTGGTCGATACGGACGCTTTCGGGATGCAAAGTTTTTTAAATGCCATAACACATGATTTGATTGTGTATATCATGTGACAAACGAATTAACAGTTAACCTTATGATAATTGCCTGCTGCAATCCGTGGGCTCTTGCTCTCAAGTTCAAGCAGATAAATATGGCAGCAATATAAACGGGTTTAAACTGCACCATTTAAGATTTGCCGATGACCTGACATGATTAATTGAAGAATTCCCTGAAAATCTCGAATATATGATAAGTAATCAAAGTGAAGAAAGCATAAAAGTTGGACTAAAATGAACCCTAACAAGACCAACGTAATGACGAACAGCACAAAATTTAACATCACAATAAACGGCGATTTTCTAGAATATGTGAAAGACTACTTATATCTAGGTCATGTTATTTCCATAAAAGATGAAACGACGAAATAAATTAATCTTAGAATCGTAACAGGTTGGAAGAAATACTGGTCATTGAAAGAGATCGTGAAGTCCAAAGACTTAAGCATACAACATTTAATACTTGCATTTTACCTTGTCTAACATACGGATGCGAAAGCTGAACCCTCACACAGGCATTGAGAGAAAATTTTGCAGTAGTAGATAGAGCAATAAAGAGCAGTATGACCGGCTATTAAAGACAGGATAAGATCAGAAATATTGATGTAAAGAATTTAACAAAACTTACCGACATACTAAAACGAATCGATCAACAGAAGTGGAGATATGATGCCGTGACAAAGTGGGAGAGTGGAGCAGGAGAGTAACAAAATGGTATCCAAGGGACAGCAAAAGAAGACGAGGAAGGCAGCACATAAGTTGGGAAGATGAAATGAAACTAACACCAGGACCAAAGTGGAGAAGGGTTGCTCAAGATAGATAACAATGGAAATCGTTGGAGAAGGCCTTTGCCAACAGGCGCGCCGAACTAAGAGACATTTGTAGTTAGTAGATTCTTTTATCTTTGTTTTAATGTTAAATGTTATTAGATTGGAATAAAGGGCTTAATTATTATTATTATTATTAATTTATTTTTATCACATATATTATCACAAAACTATAATATTATAAATAGAAATACAATCTATATAAATAATATTATTATTTCGGTTATTATCCACCGTGGCGAGGAATTCTAAGCCATCGGTGAAGTTAGGCATCCAAAGATAAGGAACCTTCTTACTTTCATATTCGAGCCGTAATTAATAAGGCCGATTTTTGAATTAATGCTTTCAGCCATTTGCCCAAACCTAACTTGGACAGATAATCGTCCATATTTTTACCAATAAGCCCATTGACTGATACAACTATTGGTACAATAATAGTAGAATCAACGTCCCACATAGCGACAATCTCATGAGCCAGGTCGATATATTTTATTTTTTTATCATTCTCTGCTTTTACGAGATTCTCGTCATGAGGAACACTGATATCCACTATTATTGCTTTGCGTATGGTTCGGTCTATCACCACAATGTCAGGTTTATTTGCCATTATAAACCTGTCTGTGATAATTGACCGATCCCAGTACAGCGTAACACTTCTATTTTCAAGGACTGGCTTTGGTTCATACTTATAATATGGAACGTCCTGTTGAGTAAAGCCAAATTTAATGGCAAGCTGTTGGTGTATTATTCTAGCTACTTGGTTATGTCTGTGCAAATACTCACCATTTGATAGTTGTGAACAACCGGAAATAACATGTCTGAGGGACTCTCCAGGGTGGTGACATGCGCGACATACGTCAACTGTGCCGTCCCTCAGAATGTATCTCCGGTAGTTGTTCGTTTTAATTACTTCATCTTGTATTGCACAGTAACCTTCAGTTTCTGCAAAAAGGTTACCAAATTGTAACCAATGTACTGATGCAACCAATGTGGAGGACTACAAAAGGATTAGTCAATGCTTTAAAAAATCGACCATGCAGTTGTTTGTCATTCCAAACCTTTTTTGCGTTCATCCATGGTCATAGTATGAGGCCTCTGCCAGTCCTTTGCCGACATATTAAGCGGGGTTAATGATTTGTCATTAATCACTACGTCATTATGAATGTGTGATGTGTCTTTTTTTTAATAAAATAGTCTCTGAGGTTGTATACTTCACAGTTGTGCAGGTTTTTAATGTTTAATAAGCCCCGTTCACCATCTTTTCTTGGAAGATACAACCTCATGACAGATGATCGTGGGTGGTGCATTCTGTGTGTAGTCATTAATGTACGGACTCGTCTATCTAAGTCATCCAATTCTGTTTGAGACCACCTTGTAACACCAAAAGTATATAGAAGGCTAGGTATTACCCAGGAGTTATATGCTCTAATTTTGTTTCCGCCGGATAAATGACTTTTGATAACTTTTTTTTAATCTTGACATAAATTTTACTTTTGAATTTTCTTTAATATTTTTGTCATTAATTCCTAGTGCTTCTGCCATGCCCAAGTATTTATAGGTTTCTGTTTCAGAAAGAGAACTGAAGTGTAAGTCATTTGTAATTGCAAATTTATTACAATCTTTAATTTTGCTCCTATTTACGTTGATAACAGCACATTTATCTATTCCGAATTCCATTCTAATATCATTGTTGAAACTATGTGTTAATTTCAACAATAATAGTAGATTACTCTCTTTTGATGTGAATAGTTTTAGATCATCCATATAGATGTGAGATCGGTGAGTTTTCTTTTCGAAACCGAAACCCTAATCCGGATTCCTCAATAGCAGTGCTTAAAGGATTCAGGGCTAAACAAAACAAAGTTGGGCTCAAACTATCTCCCTGGAATATACCCCGTTTAATATTTATAGAGTCTATCGAACTACTTTGCCACTCACCTGGTAGATTTAGGATAGTGTTCCACTGACCCATTAATTTACTTAAAAACTTACAAATTTTGTCATCTATTTTATATATTTGTAAAACTCTCTTTCGCCATGAATGTGGAACAGAGTCATATGCCTTTTTGTAATCCACCCAAGCAGCGGACATATTTTTGCGATTACGATAGACTTGTCGGCAAATAGCAAGTGTCAATGAGAAGAAGTTCTTTACAACCACGTGACCCTTTCCGACATCCGTTCTGTGCAGTTGAAAGAATGTTATTATTTTCCAAATGTTTATAGATCTTGTTATTCAAAATTGCAGTTATTAATTTATATTCAGTTGAAAGGCATGTTATAGGTTTGTAATTTATAGGTTCAGTGGTGTTTCCACTTTTATATAGTAAGTGGGTAATACCAGTTGTAAGAAGTCTCGGGAGCTCACAACACTCAATGGCTTCTTGAATCTGTGCAGCCAAACGCACGTGGCTACTTGTTATCCATTTCAGCCAAAAGTTGTGTATCGTATACCATCTGGTCCAGGTGATTTCCAATTGTGTAATCTACGAGTAATTGAGTGTACATCTTCAGCAGTAATTGAAATAGAACCCATGTTAGCCAAATTAGAAAACTTACGTTCGGTGCACGAATCCATTCGCCTTCATTATGAGAAACTTCGTTAGACCACATACTTTTCCAAAAATTTAGACATTCATTTAAGCTTGGGCTGCCATGAGTACAACTATTAGTTGTAGTGTTCTCCCAAGACCGATACACCCTCTTTTGGTTACTTTCGAATGTGCGATTCTGGAAGTACCGTTTAGATCTTTCTGAATATCGTCTAATACGGTTGGCCCATGCTTTTAATTTTTGTTTTTGTGTATCAATGAATTCAGTAATTTTATCCGGAAAATGGGGATCTGATTGGCTAATATCATTTTCATTAGCGATTTGATTTACTAAAGTAATTATTTTTTTAAGTCTGTTACCTGTTTGGTAGCTTATTAATTTTCCTATAATTTTGCAAATATTGTCAATTCGTTTTTGAATTCTTTGTTTCCATTTAGGTTCTGTATTATTTTTCTTAAAATTTTGTACTGAAATGACAGAAATTTTCATTATTATACATATAGCATAGGCAAAACAGTATAGAAGAGACATAGTTTCCAAAATAGAGTTACTTTTTTCAAAATAATCTCTACATAGAATATTCATTGATGCTACTGTTAAAATAGTTTTTTTGTTGTTAGGAAGTTTAGGTAGTTTCGGTCTATTTTCTATAGGTGTATTTTTATATTCCAGAAGGGAACATTCGAAAGTCCTTTTCATATATTCGCTGTCTTTGGAACTCACATCTATATCAAAACAATTTTGCTCTACTTTTTCGTTATTTAAGTTAGTAATATTTATATTATGGTTACTGATATTTACATTTAAGTCATCAGTCTCACCTGGAAGTGTTCGTTGGGATCAGGAATTGAATTGATAGTAGATGTTGAGTACTCACTGCAAAGTTGTTCAATTAAACTGTCGTCCAAAATCTTACGACTTAGAATGACACGTACTTGATCTGAAAGTCTTTGGGCAGTTAAGTTTGTTAGGTTGGGTTGTAGCTGTTGGAATTCAGACAGCATTTTAGGGCGATAAGATGTAAGATTGGTTCCTCCTTTGGTAGCCTTATAGTACGCGCGCATAACACTTATATTTAATTCTTTAGTCCAGCGCATGCGTTGTCGCACTACACCATCAGTAGCGGGGTCCTCATGTAGGATGGTAATTCCTGCAGGTCCCAAGCCAGCAGCTGGTGCTCTTCGTCCCCTCAAAGATGGTACGGGGGGTTCTTTTTGTGCCTCTTGGATTACATTCCATGGATGTGTAGTCCTCCGTAGGCGATGTTACGTGTGCGATTGTGGTATTGGCGGTATTTATTCGTATTTGTCGTCTCGTTCGATGCATAATGTAACGTTAAATTAAATATTTTATAAATCTGTTTGTAAAATATCTTAGATGACAGTTGTCAATTTGAAAGAAATACATTTTTCTTGAAATTAGTTTCTTATCCACAGATTTTCAAAGTTTTATTTATATTGATGTTGTAAAATCTATTTGCGTTGAGAATTTGTTATTTGGGAATTTGAAACATATGCTACAAAAATTCATTTTTAAGATTTTGTACTGACTGCATCATTTACTTTTGACAACGTCAAATATAGGAGGGGCGTGTATTTTGTTTGTATATTTATTTTTTTTGTTTCATCAGATGAGTGATCCCCACAACGTTAAATTATTATTATTATTATTATTATTACTTGTATATATTTAAGTGACAATAGCCTAATGGTAGGATGGGGACCGCGTACTTAGAAGGCTGTAGGTTTGAATTCGCCATTTGACTACTGCCGTGAACCACTCCTCACACAAGTATTTTAAGTGACAATAGCCTAATGGTAGGATGGGGACCGCGTACTTAGAAGGCTGTAGGTTTGAATTCGCCATTTGACTACTGCCGTGAACCACTCCTCACACAAGTATTTTAAGTGACAATAGCCTAATGGTAGGATGGGGACCGCGTACTTAGAAGGCTGTAGGTTTGAATTCGCCATTTGACTACTGCCGTGAACCACTCCTCACACAAGTATTTTAAGTGACAATAGCCTAATGGTAGGATGGGGACCGCGTACTTAGAAGGCTGTAGGTTTGAACTCGCCATTTGACTACTGCCGTGAACCACTCCTCACACAAGTATTTTAAGTGACAATAGCCTAATGGTAGGATGGGGACCGCGTACTTAGAAGGCTGTAGGTTTGAATTCGCCATTTGACTACTGCCGTGAACCACTCCTCACACAAGTATTTTAAGCTTGCCATGAGTGGTTTGAGGGGATATTAGTTATGTTAATACCGTTGGCCGTGTTCTTTTTTATTTGTAGCCCTGGACAAAAACGAAGGGTTGTTAAAAGTTTGTAGTGAGTATCTGTGCATCTTAATCGAGAGTGTTCTTAGATATGGTTCAAGAAAATCTGTTCAGCTGCTTAAACATCAGCTCTTCTTGTTCCTGGGATTTATACATTGTCAATTTAAGTTATTATTATTAAATTAAACGAAATATATCATTATTTACTCATTTTTTTATTTGTATTCGTTGTTGGTCTTATGAAAATGCAACCAACTCGTTTTTCCCGTTATATTTCTATTTTATCAAATGCAAAAATATGCCTATGCTGAATTAAAAACATCATCATTCATCACAATTGCAGCATTTCACAAGTCCACTGCTGAACATAAGCTTCTCCAAAGGAGTGCCACAAAGCATGGTCCTGAGCCTCCTGCTTTCGTCTTCATCACTCCATCTAGTGGGGGGCCGCCCTAAACTTCGCTTACCGGTACAGGGCTGCCCATCGAAAGCCTTTCCTTACCTTGAATTTAATGAAAGTGTGGTGGGTTACAGGGACATAAAGCCGGACAACTTGCTGCTGGACGCGCGGGGCCACATCAAGCTGAGCGACTTCGGGCTCTGCACCGGCCTCAAGAAGAGCCACCGCACCGACTTCTACCGCGACCTCTCGCGAGCCACGCCCTCGGACTTCAGTGAGTACCCGCTGCCTCTCGTTCCTTAATCTTATGGACGCGCGGGGCCACATCAAGCTGAGCGACTTCGGGCTCTGCACCGGCCTCAAGAAGAGCCACCGCACCGACTTCTACCGCGACCTCTCGCGAGCCACGCCCTCAGACTTCAGTGAGTACCCGCTGCCTCTCGTTCCTTAATCTTATGGACGCGCGGGGCCACATCAAGATGAGCGAATTCGGGCTCTGCACCGGCCTCAAGAAGAGCCACCGCACCGACTTCTACCGTGACCTCTCGCGAGCCACGCCCTCGGACTTCAGTGAGTACCCGCTGCCTCTCGTTCCTTAATCTTATGGACGCGCGGGGCCACATCAAGCTGAGCGACTTCGGGCTCTGCACCGGCCTCAAGAAGAGCCACCGCACCGACTTCTACCGCGACCTCTCGCGAGCCACGCCCTCAGACTTCAGTGAGTACCCGCTGCCTCTCGTTCCTTAATCTTATGGACGCGCGGGGGCCACATCAAGCTGAGCGACTTCGGGCTCTGCACCGGCCTCAAGAAGAGCCACCGCACCGACTTCTACCGCGACCTCTCGCGAGCCAGGCCCTCGGACTTCAGTGAGTACCCGCTGCCTCTCGTTCCTTAATCTTATGGACGCGCGCGGCCACATAAGCTGAGCGACTTCGGGCTCTGCACCGGCCTCAAGAAGAGCCACCGCACCGACTTCTACCGCGACCTCTCGCGAGCCACGCCCTCGGACTTCAGTGAGTACCCGCTGCCTCTCGTTCCTTAATCTTATGGACGCGCGGGGCCACATCAAGCTGAGCGACTTCGGGCTCTGCACCGGCCTCAGAAGAGCCACCGCACCGACTTCTACCGCGACCTCTCGCGAGCCACGCCCTCAGACTTCAGTGAGTACCCGCTGCCTCTCGTTCCTTAATCTTATGGACGCGCGGGGCCACATCAAGCTGAGCGACTTCGGGCTCTGCACCGGCCTCAAGAAGAGCCACCGCACCGACTTCTACCGCGACCTCTCGCGAGCCACGCCCTCAGACTTCAGTGAGTACCCGCTGCCTCTCGTTCCTTAATCTTATGGACGCCCGGGGCCACATCAAGCCGAGCGACTTCGGGCTCTGCACCGGCCTCAAGAAGAGCCACCGCACCGACTTCTACCGCGACCTCTCGCGAGCCACGCCCTCAGACTTCAGTGAGTACCCGCTGCCTCTCGTTCCTTAATCTTATGGACGCGCGGGGCCACATCAAGCTGAGCGACTTCGGGCTCTGCACCGGCCTCAAGAAGAGCCACCGCACCGACTTCTACCGCGACCTCTCGCGAGCCACGCCCTCAGACTTCAGTGAGTACCCGCTGCCTCTCGTTCCTTAATCTTATGGACGCGCGGGGCCACATCAAGCTGAGCGACTTCGGGCTCTGCACCGGCCTCAAGAAGAGCCACCGCACTGACTTCTACCGCGACCTCTCGCGAGCCACGCCCTCAGACTTCAGTGAGTACCCGCTGCCTCTCGTTCCTTAATCTTATGGACGCGCGCGGCCACATAAGCTGAGCGACTTCGGGCTCTGCACCGGCCTCAAGAAGAGCCACCGCACCAACTTCTACCGCGACCTCTCGCGAGCCACGCCCTCAGACTTCGGTGAGTACCCGCTGCCTCTCGTTCCTTAATCTTATGGACGCGCGGGGCCACATCAAGCTGAGCGACTTCGGGCTCTGCACCGGCCTCAAGAAGAGCCACCGCACCGACTTCTACCGCGACCTCTCGCGAGCCACGCCCTCGGACTTCAGTGAGTACCCGCTGCCTCTCGTTCCTTAATCTTATGGACGCGCGGGGCCACATCAAGCTGAGCGACTTCGGGCTCTGCACCGGCCTCAAGAAGAGCCACCGCACCGACTTCTACCGCGACCTCTCGCGAGCCACGCCCTCAGACTTCAGTGAGTACCCGCTGTCTCTCGTTCCTTAATCTTATGGACGCGCGGGGCCACATCAAGCTGAGCGACTTCGGGCTCTGCACCGGCCTCAAGAAGAGCCACCGCACCGACTTCTACCGCGACCTCTCGCGAGCCACGCCCTCGGACTTCAGTGAGTACCCGCTGCCTCTCGTTCCTTAATCTTATGGACGCGCGGGGCCACATCAAGCTGAGCGACTTCGGGCTCTGCACCGGCCTCAAGAAGAGCCACCGCACCGACTTCTACCGCGACCTCTCGCGAGCCACGCCCTCAGACTTCAGTGAGTACCCGCTGTCTCTCGTTCCTTAATCTTATGGACGCGCGGGGCCACATCAAGCTGAGCGACTTCGGGCTCTGCACCGGCCTCAAGAAGAGCCACCGCACCGACTTCTACCGCGACCTCTCGCGAGCCACGCCCTCGGACTTCAGTGAGTACCCGCTGCCTCTCGTTCCTTAATCTTATGGACGCGCGGGGCCACATCAAGCTGAGCGACTTCGGGCTCTGCACCGGCCTCAAGAAGAGCCACCGTACCGACTTCTACCGCGACCTCTCGCGAGCCACGCCCTCGGACTTCAGTGAGTACCCGCTGCCTCTCGTTCCTTAATCTTATGGACGCGCGGGGCCACATCAAGCTGAGCGACTTCGGGCTCTGCACCGGCCTCAAGAAGAGCCACCGCACCGACTTCTACCGCGACCTCTCGCGAGCCACGCCCTCAGACTTCAGTGAGTACCCGCTGTCTCTCGTTCCTTAATCTTATGGACGCGCGGGGCCACATCAAGCTGAGCGACTTCGGGCTCTGCACCGGCCTCAAGAAGAGCCACCGCACCGACTTCTACCGCGACCTCTCGCGAGCCACGCCCTCGGACTTCAGTGAGTACCCGCTGCCTCTCGTTCCTTAATCTTATGGACGCGCGGGGCCACATCAAGCTGAGCGACTTCGGGCTCTGCACCGGCCTCAAGAAGAGCCACCGCACCGACTTCTACCGCGACCTCTCGCGAGCCACGCCCTCAGACTTCAGTGAGTACCCGCTGCCTCTCGTTCCTTAATCTTATGGACGCGCGGGGCCACATCAAGCTGACCGACTTCGGGCTCTGCACCGGCCTCAAGAAGAGCCACCGCACCAACTTCTACCGCGACCTCTCGCGAGCCACGCCCTCGGACTTCAGTGAGTACCCGCTGCCTCTCGTTCCTTAATCTTATGGACGCGCGGGGCCACATCAAGCTGAGCGACTTCGGGCTCTGCACCGGCCTCAAGAAGAGCCACCGTACCGACTTCTACCGCGACCTCTCGCGAGCCACGCCCTCGGACTTCAGTGAGTACCCGCTGCCTCTCGTTCCTTAATCTTATGGACGCGCGGGGCCACATCAAGCTGAGCGACTTCGGGCTCTGCACCGGCCTCAAGAAGAGCCACCGCACCGACTTCTACCGCGACCTCTCGCGAGCCACGCCCTCAGACTTCAGTGAGTACCCGCTGCCTCTCGTTCCTTAATCTTATGGACGCGCGGGGCCACATCAAGCTGAGCGACTTCGGGCTCTGCACCGGCCTCAAGAAGAGCCACCGCACCGACTTCTACCGCGACCTCTCGCGAGCCACGCCCTCGGACTTCAGTGAGTACCCGCTGCCTCTCGTTCCTTAATCTTATGGACGCGCGGGGCCACATCAAGCTGAGCGACTTCGGGCTCTGCACCGGCCTCAAGAAGAGCCACTGTACCGACTTCTACCGCGACCTCTCGCGAGCCACGCCCTCAGACTTCAGTGAGTACCCGCTGCCTCTCGTTCCTTAATCTTAATTACATTCGTGAAAATCAAACATTGATAGTCCTTTTTGAAAATGTAATAATGTTTTTAGTAATAAAAGAGCATTTAAAAAAGTTGATACATTGCCATAGATGTCTTATAACGTTAACAAAAAATCATTAATTGCTCAGATTGCCGTTATGCTTACTTTTATTAGTTCTAATTATTTATTTACAAGTATTCGTAAACTGTTTTAAATATTTTAATCTTCTAAATCCTTTTTCCGTAATTACTGTTACGTATTTACTTTTACTTAATTCCTTTGTTTCTTTTTTTTAATTTCATTTTTATGTATTATAATAGAATTTTAAAACGCTTAGTTCAAATATTTATTGTAACTTGAAGAGTTTAAGAAGATTTATATTGTATATAAAGATAGAAATACTATTCTTGTATTTCAATAATTTTAATAATTAATATTCTTGGTACATTAAAAGATAAGACAAAGTTTCCTCAATATTGAGAAAAAAAACAGACATGGGTGGATTTAAATGTGATGAAGTCCTGGGGTAACGTAATAGCGAGGTCTGCTTATAATTTTATTAAATAAAAGTAAAAAGTATAAAAGAAGTAAAAATATTTTGTGTTTTTTGATTTGTTAGTATTCATTGTAAAGATAAAAAATCAATGCGGGATGATGTTATGACGAAACATTATTGACAATTTCGATAAAATCTAGCTTCTGTTGCTAGTTTAGTTAGTTTAATTTACGACGGGCTATTTCTCGCAACTTTACATATAAGCCCGTATTTTGCGTGTGATATAGATTCCATTGATAGCAAGTAGTTGTCTTACTGTAATTTACCATATTTTGGAAAGTTTCCTACCCAATTTAATGAAAAAGAAAAAACATGTTACTTGCGGTAGAAATGTAACCTTCAGAAAGGGAGACCGAGATAGTAAAAAACATTGTATATTGTAGTCTCTCATTAAATTTAAATCCTATAGATGTATATAATAGATGTTTGTCTCTTTTAGAGTCATTTTCTCATTTCATCGCGTTTTAAAACACAGCAATTGTAAAGAAATTTGCACTTCAAAAACAAGGCCCCGGGGCTTCAAGTTGTATCGCCTTTGAATCCTGCCCTGGCTCCCGGTTACCTTGCAGTGTATTGTCGTGCGCATGTTGTTTCTCGTTTATCAGTGTCTGAATTTTGGTCGCGGCTGTGCGCAGTCTCGACGTCGTCGTCCGCGATGGACTCGAAGCGGCGCGCGGAGTCCTGGAAGCGCAACCGGCGCGCGCTCGCTTACTCCACCGTGGGCACGCCTGACTACATAGCGCCCGAGGTCTTCCTGCAAACCGGCTACGGTCCGCAGGCCGACTGGTGGAGCCTCGGCGTCATCATGTGAGTACATACCGACGACACGTGTGCGCGCACACGTACACGCTTATACGCAAGCACGCACACGTGTTTCATCTGATAGAATAGCTGTAGTAGGAGGAGACAACGGACTTACATTTGGCACAATTCTGACACACTTCTCTCGTTTCCTTTACATTCTACTTATATATACTATACCTACGCATACATGCTCGTTGATGATGATTACGTATTTTAAAAAGGATAGAATCTATTAAGAAAAACATTAAAGTTACAGCCTATATATATCTCACTGCTGGGCAAAGGCCTCCTCTCAATTCTGAGAGCGTTCTGAAAGGGTAGGGAAATGTTCTCCACACCGCCCCAATGCGTGTTGGCGAACTTGATATGTATTCGAAATATTTTTGCACAAGTCGAATGCGAAGCGAAGATGTAGTATTATACTGTCAATAAATCAAAAAATCGCGATCGATTCAACTTAAATTTCTTCCACCGGGTTAAAAAAGAAAGAAGTACACGAATAGTAACTGGAAATTTTCAATACTTCTGACGCAGTTATAATACTATTTATTTCGATTATTATTAAAATGAAGTTAATTAAAAATAATTTCAGGACGTCAGTTGGTCGGTATGGATGTGAACAAGATATCTTTCGAAAAAGTGATCTTAACACTTGGTTTTTTTTAGCTTTTGATTTTAAACTTTAGAAAATCTTTTGAATTTGAGTTTCATTATTGTAAACTGAAAAATCTACGCGATAATTAATATTTGACAAGTATTTTCGGTAACAAAATGCAAATCACCGCTCAAACAAAATTTTGAAAAAAAGAATTTTTGTAGCTTTAAACGAAATTAAAAAAAACCTGTTTCGGTCATTAATGAAAAATAAAATAATTATTTAAAGCATTACATGAGTGTTTAAAGTGTGCACTTTTAGATTTTCCAATTATTTTTTCTTATTTCCTTACGATATTTTCCTTCACCGTCGCACACGTGCTAAATCAGTACGTAGACTTGCAATCAACACAATTTAGCGCCTTTGCAGTTAATGCAATTAACACTTACAATTCCTTTGGGTGCCGGCGGGCTGAACCCGGACTGAACCCGGGCTAAACCCGGGTTGAACCCGGGTTGAACCTGGATTGCTCGGGTACTGTGAAATTTACAGCGGGCGCTTATCCCCTGAGCTGCCACGCTCTTGAACAGTCTATGGTCATATTTAGGTTTAACATAATCAAACACCACCTATTTTATAAAATGTTTAATTAACTTTTTCGGTTTCTATTATAGCCTAGACGCCACCTGTTGTAAATATATTTCGTACATTAATATACATAAAAGCTGTGCATGCGAATTTGCTCACGTTAATTTTAATTTACATATCATACAAATAGTTCTGTATCTGTATTCCAACAAGTTTTGATATGTTATTATGAAATAAAGACCAAATAGGTCTCGGTGTGAACTGATGAACGTAACATGCTGTCAGTCTCAACAGTGTTTGAATTTAATGGTTTGACTTCCCGCGAATATTAGATAGCATCACATTACTGGCTGCAGCGCAAGAGTCCCCTCGACACGAGTGCTGTCGTTGCGCAGTAGTCATGAGAACCGGAGGCTAATGTGGCGAGCCATTCTGTTCATCAAACCTTTTGATTCGTAATCCGGAATAACTAATTAGGGGTGAGCGAAGCAACCACTTACCAGGTGAACTGTGTTCATTTGTCAATCTTATTCTATACAAAAGCGATATTGTTTTGTTATGATATTTGATTGTAAAGATGGTACAGCCTATTAAAATCCACTGCTGAATATAGGCTTCTCTTAAATTGTCTTATAAAAGGGTTGCGTTAATCACCACGCTCGGCAACCACAGCTTTTTATTATTTAGTTATCATTAGGAGGATGCTGCTGCCCATCTCCTGGTTGTTTCCGTCTGTCGCCCGGCGCGACACCCGCGGGACAGTGTGGGGCTGTGCTTATTGTGTGTCTTTACATGGTGAGTCGATTGTAAACACAACATGTCGCTATAATTTGTATGTTCATTGAATGCCATACTTTATGAACTTTGTCGCTTGCACTCGCGCATTGCATGTACGCGAGCTTGGCGATTTTTTAAATTGAAACTAATTCAAGCGCGCTAGAGCGAATTCCCCTAGATTAAACTAAAAGCGAAATGCTTCCTCTTCTTCAACCAGCAGTTGGAACAAAAGAGTGGCAAAATGGTTTGTACTCTCTTTGTCGCATACGTTTGCCGTATACACAGTACACGCAGTGCACGTTGCGTATTTCTACGTAACAGGGAACTAGTCGACGCTTGAGTATCTTACTGTACCTTACCTGAACACTTTTTAGTTTTTAATTTAATAGTTATTAGATAATGAAGTTTCCTTGCTAACGCGCGACTCTAAAATAACTACGTGTGTGATATGAATAATCGTTGCAGAGATCATAAATGAGATATTTTCTTTAAATTATGCTTTGAAATAATATTAAATATAAGTTCGTTTTCTAAAATACTTATTGCCCACGTGTTATTAAGTTTATTGTTGAACATAGACCTTCATCCATGGGTGGGATATTTGCCACAGTTGCCACGCTTGGCAGACGGACTGGCTACCGCATTTTCATTTTAGTTGTTATTAGGAAAAGCGCTGCCTCTGTCGCTTCTCTGACACCCACGGGACGATATGGCGTCGTGGATATACTTGCACCGTCACGACACGCGGCTGGCCCGTGTCGTGACTGCCTTTAATTAATCCAACACCGAAATTTATATTATAATATTACCAGTTTTTTTTTGAGTATTATAAAATCTTAAAGCAACCGCTAAATCGAACCAGGATATGAATTGTTTTGCTCTATGTGCTAAGATTTGTTTTTTTAAGAAAATTTGTGTTGCTATGCGACTGAAGTCTGTTCTTATTTGCCCGCATCGGTGCGCCGCAGTAGCGATATTTACTTGTAAGAAAGGAATAAGCAAAGCCCTATTTACTACTGATCAATTCTTGGTTTTTACATAAAATCTTAGAAAGTTCACGGAGTATAAGTTAAAAAAAAATACGAAACATGTGTTGTGTGTACAATATATGGATGATATTGAGTTCCGCATAAGTCCACTACAAAACAATGGTGTCCGCCAACGAATGTCACAAGGCACGGTGTCGAGGCACTTGCATTATCGACTGCCTGCACGTCCACTTCATCTGGTGTGGTAGGACAAAGATGTAGATAGTGTACATGTAGGTAATATAGCTTCCAATTTCTATGCATCTAATTCTACTACCCAACACTATTTAGAGCTGCAATAAAAGCCTATTATTGATATTTATCTATTTATTTAATCTTTATTGTTTTACACCTTAATCTAAGGGTTACAATGGGCGGACTTAATGACTTATGGCATTCTCTACCAGTCAACCCTGGGAGAATATTGACATGTAATAGTTGGTAGGTGCTAAAATATTAAAATGAATGGACATAATATATTGTAAATAAATATACATGCATACGTACTAATATACATGTAGAAAATAAAATAATGATAATGAATATAGGTATATAAATACAAATGCAGACACACACACACATACACACACACACACACACACACACACACACACATACACATATACATACACACACACACACACACACATATATATATATATATATATATATATATATATATATATATATATATATATATAAATAGAAATAGAATGGTCAAACGGAGTTTTCCTCTTGATAGTGTTGTCGGACTAGTTTTTTAAATGTGTGCTTATTCGATGCTTTTCTTATATTAACGGGCAAGGAGTTCCAGAGAAGTATTGCCTGAACTGTAAAAGAAAACTTAAAGAAAACAGTACTATGCTGAGGTAAGTCAATCGTAAGGACGTTAGAGGAATGAGGTGCACGGTCGAGAGTTGAACACCGAAAGTGGAAGTTATCTTTAAGATAAAAAGGAGACGTCGGATGACTGATGTCAACATCGGAAGAGTGTCGGATGCGTTTAATTCGTTCAAATATTATCACACATCTTGAATAAAGAAGCTGTGTTCGAATAGTATACATTATCTTAGATAAAGTGGCTTCTTTGTGAATCGGAAGTAATATAGAGAAAAGAGTTAGTAAGATTCTGGAGTAACGCCTCTGATGAATAGAAAGCCATTTAAGCTTGGAACGAAAAGCAGTGATGTGGTCGTATTTTCGTAAGTTGAAGATAAATCTTATACAGTCGTTGAGAAGGCGCTCCAACTTGTTAAGAAGATTTTGCGAGAGGTCTCTAGTCTATAATAGGAAGAATAACGGAATTAACAAGCAAACACTTGGTTTTGAAGGGTAAGAAATTTTTCATACGATAGAGGGAATGTAGGGTGGCAACAACTATACGATTAATTTCCAAGATCTGTGCTGCCCAGTTCATACAGTGATCTATGTGTAAGCCTAAATTGACTATGGATTGAGAAAATGGAATTGTAATTCCATTATATAGACCTGGTTCGAGGTTTCCATAGTCAATCATACTCAACATTCTGGAGCTACCCACAACCATTGCTTTACATTTTAACTGGTTTACTGAAACACCAAATCTATGTGACCAGATACGGATGGCATCTAAGTTTATGTTTAGTTCCCTAATTGCATTATTTATATCATCGATGCTGGATTGTGCATATAGTTGAAGGTCATCGGCTTACAGATGGTACGAGCAACTGAAATCATTAGATATTGAGTTTATAAACAGAGAAAACAATATTGGAGATAATATACCGCCTTGCGATACGCCAGCTTCAACGTCAGCCCAAGCAGAAAACTGCTCCCCTGACTTAACCAATTGCTGACGACCGCGAAGATAGGATGAGAACCACTCCAAGGCTTGGGATGAGAATCTGAGGTAAGAAAAAGTGGATAGGAGGATATCGTGGTCGACTGTGTTAAAATCATTTGAAAAGTCAACAAGCGTCACCACTGTAACTTTCCGTTCCTCCATCCCTTTTCTAATGTCATCAGTGATCTTAATA